TTTATAATTCATCATTCATTCATCATTGACTTTATTTTTTTTAATACGGACTACTAGTTTTTTTTTCATCGATTTTTGTAGCCACTGCAATAACAAATTCAGCTATGTACTACAATAACATGTGTTTCGCGACGTTTGTCTCCGAGAAAACATCATCGTCATTTGAATCATCATATGCAGAGAATCGGGACTGTCGGAAGACAGTGTGTCGCCTCTGTTTGGAAAATGATGAAACAGCAGAGCACGTACTTGTGCCTGCCCCGCTGGAAACCGAATCAGTACAATTGGTTTGAATCGTACCTCTCAGACCGAAGTCAAATGGAAAGAACATCGGATCTCTCAGAAAGCAGGGCAATCACATCTGGTGTGTCACAGGGTTCTGTGTTGGGTCCAATTCTGTTTTTGTTGTATATTAATGATTTGACTGTGATAGATATATCTGGCAGCTTTACTCTATTCGCGGATGATACAGCAATATTGTGGAAGGGAAAAAACCCAGAAGAGCTACATAAAAAGATATCATCTGATTTAAGAAAGGTGAAAAATTGGTATGTATGTATGTATGTATGTTTGCTGGTATGTAAGTTTGTTTGTAACGCTCAAGCTCTGGATCTGTATTGACAGAATTATCGGCATTATTGCTTGATCTATCCGCGGGCAGATGGCGCTGTATGTAACATACTGGATATTTCTTGATCTATTCGCGGGCAGATGGCGCTGTTCGTAACCTAATTGATATTTCTTGTTCTTTGTGTTTTTTAGTTGTTTTGAACTATATTTATTCGGTAGCGATTTGGTTCATTTCGTAGAGAAAAATTGGCCCAAATCAGTGTTTTTCATTTAGTAACGGGTCAGTCTATTTATTTTCAGATTGTTATTGATAAGTTGTATAAGATTAAGCACTATAAGAGTTATAAAACTGTCAGCTCTATAGGTTGTAAATCAAACTTGAATAGAAAGTATAACATCGTAATTTCGCATCTTCTGACAATACGGAATTTTTCGTTAACACGTAAATTATGCGCCGTCAGTTGAAAAAAATGAGGCAACCGTTAATTTTTCTCAAAAAATATTAATTTTTTCATCAATCTAGGTTTTGTCGCCTTCAAAATAGTCCTTAAAATTTCTGACACAACGTTTATCTAAACCACATCATCATGAACGATAATTAAGAATATATTATACTTATCAATTTCTGTGACTTCTATCAGTAAATGTGTATCCATATGATTGATCTCAAAATCAACGTTAGTGATACGAAATTTGTAGTAATATCTAAGTTTCATTTTGTATTTTCTTGTGATTGTATTTCATAAAAAATCTGGACTTTTTCCTTCGGCAAATTTCACATTCATTCGTCAACTCATCTGCCACTTGCGCATTGTAAAATATTCTGATGTGACTGACTGAATAAATATATTGATTGATCGATAGTTTACGAACGGTGCGTAAAAATGTGACGTCAATATATCCATCAACATCATTGTAAATGTCTCCCTCTAAGAGTCGACATTTCGAAACTCAATTATGGGGGGATAATGCGCAAACAAACCTAAAAATTCTGGTGACGTATAAGGTTTGTTTCGGTTCTGGATCTCGAACTGTTGAAGAACACTCCTATAATCGCCCTATTCGCCCAATGGGCAAAAATACACACATCGGAAAAGTCTAGGGATATTTTTATAACATACTAAATATCATAAAAATAAATGCATGAGGTCGTTTAATTTCGATTAAATTGGTACACTCGACCACCCTGTAGATTTCTATGGGTTGAACAAAGCCTGCAAAAACGGTAACTAATCTTTTATCAAGTTTTTTACAAACTGTAGGTTTTCGGCTAAAATGAATAATCTGAAAGTGTCGAGTTTGTACATTCTATGCAGTTCTTGCTCAGCAATTAAACTGGAAATATTGTGCTTTAACATGGAACGCCATCACTTACCATT